ACAGTTCAAAGCTAAACATAAAAAAGTCAGTGAAAACAAAAAGTGAATGAAGATACAAATTTTCTTGCTTTCAAGAACCTTGAAGATAAACATAATTTATTTGGTTTAATGTTTTATAAAATTTTATCACATGTAATAGATTTATGTAGTGATCAGTACAATTAGGATACAGAGTTATTCCATCACTCCAAAGTAATTCCCTCATGCTACCCGTTTCCAGTCATACTCTCCCCGCCGACTCTTACCCCTGGCATCACTGATCTGTCCTCCATTACTACAATTTTGCCATTTTAAGAATGTTATATATGTGGAATCATACCAACGGCATAATGGTCTTGAGATTCATGCAAGCTGCTGTGTGTATCAAGTTCGTTCCTTTCTATTACTGAGTAGTATTCCATGATATGGATATTCATTTATGCATTGAAAGATATCGACGTTTTTTTCAAGTTTTTGGCTATCACAAATAAAGCTGATATAAACATTTATATACAAACTTTTATGTGAGCATATTTTCACTTTCTAGAGTAAATATACAGTAGTTGGATTACTGGGTCTTATAGTAAGGGTATGTTTAACTTTATAAAAACTGCCAAACTGTTTTCTAGAGTGGCTGTATCAATTTTTATTCCTATCAGCAAGATTTGAAAGATACAGTTGCTCCACTTCTTGTCAGCACTTGGTATCATCAGTATTTTTTATTTTAGAATTCTAATAGTAGTGTAGTAGGATTTCACTGTGGTATTATTTGCATTTTCCTAATGGCCAATGATGTTGAACATAATGATGTCTTATATGATGTTTTAAATTTTTACAAATACCTTTTGAAGCATCTCAATGAATTCTCACAAGTATAGTGAGATGTAGTTCAAGACATAAAAGGCCAATATTATGTACATCTGGAAAAAACAGTCAAATATAATTACACCAATGCAGAATCAAAACAATTTGAAACTCAAAAGAAACAAGGTGGTAATTTAGTCAAAATTTGCCATTTTACAGGGAACTGAGTCTCACACAGCTGGAATCATACCAAAAACTACAGTTCTGATGCTTGGATCTCTTCTATTATGGCCAACAAAGTAGGTGACAATTTATGCTTGAATCCTTCAAGTAACTGGGAATTCACTCATTTTTTGCCCAGTTCTATTAGGAAGTGTTTCCTGACATTGAGCTGAAATGGTCTATAAACAAATAAGCAAATCCGTGTTTTGACATTGAACTGAAATGGCTTACCATAGTGGGTCCAGTTTCATCCTTTGAGACTTTCCTCAAGATATGTGCTTCCTTTTCCACAAGAGAGTACTTCAGATACTTGACAGTCATCATACTCTCACAAATATATTCCTGACTAAACACTCAAATTTTCCTCCAACCATTCCTTAGATTGCCATCCTTCTCGCATGTATGTAAACTGGTCCCAGATTTCTTATGATGCAAAATACTGAACAAAATATTTCTAGTAACACAGCCAGAGTATATATATTTTCTAACTATATTCACTGCTGGAAATAGTGAAATTTCCTTGTTTCACTTAATGTATTTCCTAACACCATAAAAAATATTTGTAAATATTTTAAAATTTTAAGCTAAATATTTTATTTTTAAATTGAGGTTATTTTTTGGATGTGTCACACACACATGGTCCAAAATTCAAAATGTCTAAAGAGTTTACAGTGAAAAGTCATGATCCCTAGCCTTCTGGTTGAATATAATACAACATAATGTAATGTAAATATAATATATAGCAGGCACCCTCTTTTTAAGATACAATTCTGACTTTGATTATGATATTCCATCACATATCTTTTTAATCATTCATCTTAAAAATTGTTGTTATTATAAATAATGCTGTGTGGACTTCCTTATGTATAGTTTATGTATATATTTTAGATTATTTCTTAAAGTAGATTCCTAAAAGAAAATACCTGCATTCTATAGTATGACTTGTATATAATAACTTTCCACAAAATCACCACTTTATATTTGTACCAGCAGCATATAACTTCCCATTTCACCACACTTTTGCAAGCATGGGCTACTATTATTTATTGATATTTTTCAAATTTGTTGTCTAGATTTGCTTATAAATAATGTTTTAAAATGTTTTTTAAAACATTTTAAAATGTTTTTATATCTCTATTAGCTATTTGTATTTCCTCCTACTGGTGTTTAAATCCTTGTTAATTTTTAGAAAATCAATTGTATGAGCTAGAATATTAGCCCACTGTCATATTCTTGGAAAATATTATTATTTACAGCTAATTAAACACTTAATAAAAAAAGATGGTTTACATATACTAGTGACAGTCCATCTCAAATAATTAATATAGTTTTTAAAAAATTTTTACTAAATTTGAAGACTTACAATGAATAATTATGTTGTAATATGTTTATCTCTTTACAAGTCTGTTTCGCTCACCAGATTATAATCTAAGGATAATATCTTAATCATCTTTCTAAAGCCTAATATAGACATTTACACAGAGTAGATGTTCCTTAAATTTGTGACACCTAAATAAGTGAATACCTAAAAATCCCTATTAGCTCGTTGGACTCTGCTTACATGGTTAGAACCCCCAAATTTTATGATTCTAATTACATCTATCTAGACTTTAGCCCTAAGTCAACGTCAAGTTGTTCTAAGGGTATTGTAAAATACCCTACCCTTTCCAACTTTGAACTGGATAACATTTTGATAACATAGGTTCTATATATTCTCTTAAGTGAATGAAATACAGTGTTGACTCAGTGAAGGACTGTGGTTCTACACTAAAAACCTCTGCAGGGACTAACTGCCATCCAGAAGTCAGTTTATCATCTAGCCCTTTTTCATCCACAACTTACTCATAAGTATATGATGAAAATGTCAATGCCTTCTGGGCACTGATAAATATTGTCTACTTAATTTCATTGGTATAGTAGTCTAGTAATCTTATCAGGAAGAAAATAAAATTAGACAAATAAATTCTGCTTGGTAAACCCATACTGTATTTGACTGATTACTGTTTCCTCTTATAGATGCTCCCAGAGCATCTTTTTAATAATTCCTTTTAGATTTTTGCCTGGGATCAATGTGGTCTGGGCAGGGGATTAGTGGTGTGAGGGACTCTCAATTAAATGAGTAAAGATCAAAGGGGAGTTTTGCAAGTGATATGGATTCCCTTCCATATGACTGGAACCCCATAGTTGTCCATAATCCTTTCTTTATTTCTGAGGGTTCGAGACTGCCAGAGAATATTTAAAAAGTACTTCTTCCTATGAGTAGTTCGGTCAGGATTGAGTAAATTATCAACATAGAGGCAGCTGTTACTCCTGCTACAGGTTAGGGGGTGGGGAGTGGAAAGTATCTGTCAATCAAATAGAAGCTCTCTTTGATGACATAAAATACTTTCTGAGGGAACTTTGAATATTTGGATTGGCTGCCTGCCACATGATTTTCCAGTTCTGGCAATGCATAGTAATCCTGTCAGGTTTCTTTCAGATTGACAATCTCTGTCAAAGCAGAGATTGTATAGTCTGTAATTTGCTAACTCCACTCTGGTGCACACATTCCTTCCAAGGAGTCCTTCAGATCTTCTCCACCCGCCACCATCCATTTCACAATCCCCTATTCCTTCAACCCAGGAAAACCTAATCTACTAGAGATATTACTAGATTCCTTTTAAACTCTCTGTATTAACGTCATAGGGCCACCATAACAAATTACCACAAACTGGTGGCTTAAAGCAATAGAGATTTATTCTTACATTTCTGAGGCAAGAAGTCTGAAATTAAGGTGTCAGCAGGGCTGTATTTCCTCTGAAGGACCTAGGGGAGAATCTGTTTTTGCCTTTTCTACCAGAAACTATCAGCATTTCTTCACTATTGCCACATTACTCCAATATTAGCTTCATATTGCTTCCTCATATTACTTGTCATTGGATTTATGGCCCAGCAGACAATCCAGGTTGATTAATTTCATCTCAAGATCCTTAACTTATATCAACAAAGAACTTTTCCATTCACAGGTTCTAGGAATTGGGACATAGACATACTTTTTTTGGGTGCCACTACTCAACTCACTATATCTTGCTTAAGGATACAATTTTTTCCTTCTTCTTTCAAGCTTTACCTTTTGAAGCTTTAAAGAAATTCATGAAACCTATTCTTTCTTCATCATTTTAGCTTTCAAGACTTATATCTTCACTTTAAGCAGTTCTTTGGAAAATCCAATCCATTCCTTTGTTTCAGTTGCCTTTTTTTTTTTTGGAATGTCTCCTTCCCTAGGCAAATAAATACTACACCAATGGGAGAAAATATCACTGGGTCAAAAAGCAAGTAATTCCACGTTTAGATTTCCACTTTCACCCTGAAGGCAGACATTTGCCCACGTTTGGTGTTCTATTCTGTTTCCCATAATTCCTCAAAGATGAGGACAGTTGTTCTCAGGTCTCATTTGCACTCTCCTGTTCCCACCCACAAAACCTGCAATATGAGCCATTCATAACATGATATAATCTAAATTGGAACTGTTAGGTACTTTTGTGGAATTTCTTCCTTTATTTAGGAAGAATATTGCTTCCTGTCTCTATTTATATTACTCTTTTGAGTAATATTAATTAGTTGCTATTTATTGAGTCAGTACCGTGAGCCTGGCTCAGTGTTTTGGATGTTACTTCCATCACTCAGAACAATCCTGTGAGAAAGATATGGTTATCCTAATTTTACATATGAGAAAAAGGAGATCCAGGGTAATATAACTACTAAGTGTTGAACCAGAGAATTAAACAAAGGTTTGTCTGATCCCACAAATATACATAGTTCTATTATGTCAAATCACTTAAGTTTCCTTTGTAGAGAATGAAGCAAAATAGTATTTCAGAAGTTCTGCTTTCTCTGTCAGCTCTAACCTTACACCAGAAACTGTAAGTGGGCTTTTCTTTGCCTGTCTTCTGGCTCTGAACAGACTTTTAAAAGCCCGTTCTTTGTCCTGTCTTAGCATTTTTTGCAAGTCTCACCTCATTTGGGGGCTTTGGATTTCTTGACACTATCCTTTAGAGCCCATGTTACCTTCTTATAATTATCCTTGGTATGTGGTTGTTTTCTCCCAAGGTTTCTGTCACTTCCAATTAGCCAAGCAATTTCTCCTTGTTGGTCAGAATTAGGTTCCTCAGTTGCTCTGCTGGGACATCAAATCATGAGAAAGGCAAATCAAAAACTTGTCTGATGTTCTTCTTTTAGCCCAATAACACTTTTAAAAGGTGTCTAGCTTTCTGGTTTCTTTTTTGATTTTTGCATTGCTACAGGTATTGACAAATAGTATATTGCAGTGCACTGTGGTAGCAATAACAAATTCTTTTATGAATAATTGCATGTGCAGTGTGAATGTTTGGAACCAGCTTTAAAACTCTCAGCATACTCTAAAGCAGTTTCAATTATCCCATTATCTACATGTACATCTTGTCATTGTAACACATTCCTGTTTCTGATCCCCGACTCAAGTTGGCCACATGGAGAAATATTTTTATTTCCAATAAACTAATTTATTTGTGTATTTCATTTTGAATATAACTCCAAACCATAACGTGGGAAGTAGGGTGGGGAATATGACCTTTGTAAAGTAAAATATATGTGAGAAGGTCTATGAATTAAGGTCATAAGACAAAGGACTGTAAATTTCAATGAGAAAAAAATTACATCTTAATTTTTGCTAACTGTGAGTAAAATTTAGCATTTCTTTTAATTGAGAACATAGGTAACAAACCACAGTGTTATTAAAAGTATTGGTAACTTTTTCACCCATAAAAATCACAGATATTTGTCCATTACATTACTGGAGTTGGAGAAATCTCAAGATACAATTGGTGTTCATGATTTTAAAATTATAGATATTACTAGATCCTCTGCTAGATTTTATTTGATCCATAAAAAATCAAAAAGCATATGTATAGCACATTTAACGAAGCATATAAATAGCACATTTTTGTTGACTATCTTGATTACTATATTTTATTATAAATGGTTTCATTTATAATCTTATGCATAATTTATGCATTGAAAAACATGATTCATAAAAGGGACTTCATTGGCTTCAGAAGATTCCTAAAGGGATTCATGGTACGAAGAAGATTAAGAATGTCTATCATGGACTGTAGCATTATGGTTAAGAGCATGTAGTCTGGTGTCACATTGCTTGGATTCAAATTTTGCCCTGTCACTTATGGTATGACTTTGGCTAAGTTATGTATACTTTTTGTGCCTTAGGCTCTTCATGTGTAAAATGGAGATAATAATACCTACCTAAAAGCCTTGCAATGAAGATGAAGTAATAACTGTAAAGGGCTTAACATAATGCCAGTTACATAGCATGTTATTTATCTCCACATCCACCCACAAAAAGGTTTCATTCAAATCATATTTACATTTATCGTACATACAGATTTTTTTTTTTACTATGCTGTCACAGGCTAAAACTTAAAATTACATTATCAAATGTTGGTTAGTTTCAAATAAATATTTGTAAAATATCTGTGTGATATAAGGAAGAATGATACAATGAATATCCACATGCCCTCCATCCAGATTGAAGGGAAAAAATTACTTTAAAAAGGAAGAACATATAATTTATTATCCAAACCAGGACACTTTAGAGAACAAAAGAGTGTTATTATTATATCAGGAAAATAGGCAAACCAGGATTGTTCTGACTAAACCAACATGCATAATTACCCTACTTTTATAGTCCTTATGTGCTCCTTCCTTATTCTAGGCCCTTCTTTTGGCAGCTAGAGAAAATCACTACATTGATTTTATGTTTATCATTCTTTGCTTGAATTTATAGATTTAGTCATGTTCGTACCCTTCAATAAAATATTGTTTCCTTTATTGGTTCTTTAATTTATAGAAGTAGAATCCTACTGTAAAATTCTTTTGTGAATTGCTATGTTGCTCAACATTGTTAGATTCATCCATGTCCATGGATTTGTAATTCATTTTTTTCCATTGTCTTCTTCAACTGTAAAGTATAAACAATGTATTTAACCACTCTACTGTTGATAGGCAGTTGTTTCCAATTTTTACTGTTTAAATAATAGTTATAAATTTTCTTGCTTTAGATCCTGGTACATATTTCTCCTGGGCCATAGAACATGTGCATCTTCAAGTTTACTAGATAATGCCAAATTGTTTTCCAAATTGATTATATCAACTTATACTCCCACCAGCATATTGTTCTGGTGATACTGTCAGACCCTCAAATTTTTGTGTATGTGGTGGCCACAAAGTGCTATTTCCTGTGGTTGAGTATCTCTTTAGGTTTTCTCTTCTATGAATTGCCTGTTTGAGGGGGAGATGTGGAGAGCATTATCTATCTTTTTAAAAAAAATTAAAATTATAGTAGTTCTTTAGACAATCTAAATACTAATCCTCTTGCTAGTAACATGGATTATAAAAATCTCCCAACTTGTGGCTTATCTTCTAATCTCCTTATGGTCTTTCTGTTTTTACTTTTTATTATAGAAATCATTAAAAATATACAAATGTATGCGGAATGAAGTCCCATTTAACTATCACCCAGATTTTCCCCATGTCTGATTATTCTGAAGTATATCTGAGACATTATATCATTACACCTTGAAATATTTTAATATGTACCTCTAAAAGATAAAGACTCTTTAAAAATTACTATTATAATACAAGAAATAATTTACAATAATTCCATAATATCATCAAATATTCAATATGCATTCAAATTGCTAATTATCATAAAAAGAATTTTAAGTTTGTTTGAATCATGATCCAGATAAAGTCCTGTAATAGCTGGTCCAAAATGGCACCCAACAATTTCCACTGCCTGGTATTCACACCTTGTGTAATCCTCTCTCACACTATATGTTGGTTGGTGCATGTGATCAATCTGCTGGTCATATACTTGCGGGATGGTATGCCACTTTTGAGGCTAGGTGAGACCCTGAGCTAGAACTACTCAGCTCAGCTGCTCCTGAATTTTTGACTTTAGATATTACATGAGATGTAAATGTTCACTGCTTTAAATACTATGTTTTGGAGGTAGTTATAAAGTAGTAGAAAATAAGAAATTTGGTACTTAAAGTGGCATGATGACATACGAAAACCTAAAATGAGAGTGGCTTTGTGTAAGTGGCTGAGGGCAGGTGAAAAGACTTGGAAAGTATTAGTAAATTTGAAGAGCTTTAAATAAATTGTCTGTAGATGTATGCTAACATTGAGGCTGCAGATGAGGTCTTAATAGATTAGAAATGTTTTACTGGAAATGTAGGAAAGTGGCAGAAAGCTTAGCAAATTTGTCACCTGGGGTTATGTGCAAAGTAGAAAATATGCCTAATAAACCAGTGATTAAGCTAAGGAGACTTCATGCCAGAATGTTAAAGATGTCACCTGTTTTCTTCTGGCTGCTTATAATAAAAATGTAAGAGAAAAGTTGAAGGATTGTTAAAAAGGAGCCAGAACTTGTGAGATTTGAAGATTTCCAGCCTCTCTAGGTGACAAATGATGTAAAATTAGAAAATGGCTCAGAACAAAGAACAAATCCAGCACATTCACAGGAAAATATGAAGTTGAGAGTATAGTTGTAAAGCCCTTTAGGACCTCAGAAAGATCTAATGCGGTGCCTCAGAGTATTTTTATTCAGACATAAAGGGTGTACCCCACAACATCTTAATCAAATTACAGGGCTTCTAAGAAGTTTAAGGGTGTGGTGCATCAAAAGCCCAAGGTAGAAAAAGGGTTTATGTGGAAAAGATTTATGGGTGTTGCTTTGTCTAATGGTGTGAACTCAAATAAAATTCATAGGAGACCCACAAAGTTTTTAAGAGAATTATATTAGAAGAATGCAATTTTAAAGAGACTTTTAAACGAGAATTATATTAGCAAGCTGTTTGCCAGCCTGGACAGAAAGGGACAGAGTACCAAATGAAAAGAAGCTTTGGACATCCAAACTTCTACAGGCAGAGAGAACTGCACAGCTGTAAACATGGAAAAGGAAGGGTGATCCAGTGGGTGGATCCAAGAGACCAGAGGCAGAGTTAAGAGCTATGGAGAATCACTCTTCAGCCCTGAATCTTAATCAAGAAACTGCCAACCTGTGCCCATGTGGATTTCAGAATTTCTGTGAACTTGTGTGCCTCATTCTACCCCACTCCCTTTTAAAATATGTCTATCTTACGCAATTTATATTTGGTGTGTGAAGGTAGATACCGTGTGCCTTTAGTTTACAGGTCTTCAGAGTAAGAGGAACTCTATTTAAGATGCTGTGCTTATGGAAGTACACCTGAAAAGCCTCACCCATACCTGTACCTAATTTAGATTTCTAGACTTTTAGCTACCGCTCTAATGGGATGAGAGTTTTAGAGAACTTTGGGAGTGGGTGAGTGTATTTTGCATAAGGGGAGAATGTGCATCTGGTATGTGAATGTAGTAGCCAGTCTCCCGGTATTCATACTTTTGTGTATTCCCCTCCCACACTGTATCAGGGATCATCCGTGGGACTAACAGAATATGGAAGGAATGATATATCACTTTGAGAGAGCACTTGCTCTGGGGAAAGCCAGGTGTCATGTTGTAAGGACATTCAGGAAATTCTGTGAGTAACTCATCTTGGAACTGGATCTTCTATCCCTACCAAGCAGTCAGAAGACTGTAACTCAGCCAACAGTTTGATCAAAAACTCGTAAGATCCTGGGCCAGAATATCTAGCTAAGCTACTCCTGGATTCCTGACCCAGGAATCTATGAGATAAATATTTTTAGTTTTAAGCTGTTTAGTCTTGGGGTAATTTGTTATATTGCAATACGTAACTAATATAAGTTCACACATTGCTTCATATGCCTTTAGTGAGCCTCTTTTAATCTACAGTTTTCTCTATCTTCTTTCTCTCTCCTGCAACATATTTGTTGAAGTTAATTTAACCCATGATTTTCCATAGATTGAATTTTCCTGATTGCATAACCATGGTGTGTAACATGTTTTCTATATTTCCTACTATCAGGTTCAATTTTTATTTTTTTGGCAAGATTTTTAAATAAGTGATGGTGTGTTTTTTCTTTAAGTGATATATAGTTTCCTTGTCATGTTAGCAGCTGTTGCTATGAAATGATAAACACATTTATTCATTATGAATCTCAAAATGGCAATTTTCTGTCTCTC